GGCCGCTCCCAGCCACCACAGCCTCGCCTGCTGGGCTCCGGCGATCCTTCCGCCTCAGCCATCCAAGTAACCGGAATTATAGGCATGTGCTATCACGCCGGCTGATTTTTTGATTTATTGTAGAGATGATGTATCGCTGCCCAGGCGGGTCTCAAACCTGCGGGCTCAGGCAATCCACTCACCTCAGCCTCCCAAAGGCACGGGATTACAGGCTGAGCCACCGAGCCCGGCCAGAGAGTAGTTTTGACTAGCAGGCAGTCACTAATTATTTTTCTCTAAGGTCTCATGGATTTATTGCCTGTAATTCAAAGCTACCATGAAGTCACACTTTCAGAATGGCTACTGAACAGTCTCCAAGGCTTTTTGCAGATGTGCTAACTAAAGCGAGTACTTACCATGAACTTTGTTTCACCCTTTGACAGAGTATCTGTAATAAAATGGACCTTCTGTAATTGCTCCACAACACGATGTAACAGCTTTGGCTATAGAATCATAATTGGGAAATAAGAAAAAGAACAATTACTCTGTTGTATCAAAAAACATTTTTTTAAGAGAACCATGTATCTTGTCACCATGTATCTTGTCACATTGCCCAGGAGAGAGAGCAGGGGCTGTTCACAGGTGCAATCACAGCACACTACAGCCTCAAACTCCTAGGTTCAAGTGATCCTCCTGTTTCAGCCTCCCAATTACCTGGGACTACAGGCATATACCACTGCAACCTGGATAAGAAAACATTTCTAATGTGAATTTTCTGATTATTGATGGAGAAATTCCTACATTTTTTAATGTTCTGAGTAAGTACATTCCCCTCTAAGAGAAAATTCATCTTATCAAATGAAACATATTTTTAGTAACCACTGCTTTTCACCAATTTTATGACACTCTAAAACAAATACCATTTGTGTTTATGTTCCATTAAATCAAAGAATTAGCTGCTTCCTCTTTAAAAGGCATATATTCCAAAATAAAAAGTGTTTTGTCTTCATGGATTTTCTAAGAGGTAAAATTTCTTGGTATTTTTATTGAGGTAAGCCATCTCAATACATTTTTAAATAGAGACAAATTTCTTTAGTGAAAACCTGAATATTATACTAAGTATTTTTAAAATATCTATAATGGACAGTAAATAATTCTTGAAATATTTTATTAAATGTCATCTCTTTCAAATGTTAGACTGTCCTCCCAATTCCCTGAGGGAAGACAACGTGTATCCCTTTAAGCAACTTAGTTTGCCTTTCACAGAATTCAACCAATACAAAAGACTTCAGCTGATTTTTTAGAAAGATTAAAACAAAAAGATTATTTTGAAAATATCCAACCACCATTTAGAAAATGAAATTCACTCATTTTTTTTTGTCGGAGTCTCACTGTCACCCAGGCCAGAGTACAGTGGCGTGGCATGCTCATGGCTACTGCAGTCTCGACCTGCTGGGTTCAGGTGATCCTTCCACCTCAGTCTTCCAAGTAGCTGGAACTATAGGTGCGTGCCACCATGCCCAGCTAATTTTTTAATTTCTAGTAGAGATGAGGTCTCGCCAAGTTGCCCAGACTGGTCTTGAACCTCTGGGCTCAGGCAATCCTTTTGCCTCCAGCTCCCAAAGTACTGGGATTACAGACATGAGCCACTCACTGTGCCCAGTGAAATTCACTCTTGTGTAAGACTGAGCACATTGATCATATACTCTGAGGCACCTGTTTGGCTGATTCCGACGTGAAGCTTGGATGGGTCAGGAGGATGTCCATGTCACCACTGGATTCTGCACCTGCAGCAACAGAGTACACATATGGGGATCTCCATTTATATGCTTCAGTCAGGCAGACAGAATCAAGCTGGTGACACACACGAAAGAGCCTTACTTCTCACAGCCTAACTTTCTATTGCACTGTGCTTCACATTTAGAATTAGTTAAAAGATTTCAATTTTCTGTCCAACTATTCAGGTACATTGATGCAGACAACAGAATCTGGGATAACAACAGTAATTGGCATTAGATATACACTGCACACAACTGGTTAACTTCATGTGTTAAAAAATGTACCTCAGTTGCCGGGCTCAGTGGCTCAGCCTGTAATCCCGCACCTTTGGGAGGCCGAGGTGAGTGGACTGCCTGAGCCCGCGGGTTCAAGACCCCCCTGGGCAGCGAGACCTCATCTCTACAATAAACCAAAAAATCAGCCAGGCGTGGTAGCACAGGCCTGTAATTCCGGCTACTTGGAAGGCTGAGGCGGAAGGATCACCGGAGCCCAGCAGGCGAGGCTGCGGTGGTCGGGAGCGGCCACTGCACTCCAGTCTGGGCAACCGAGTGAGACCCCAACTCAAAAAAAAAAAAAAATGCACCTCAGTAATTACTCAATAATGAATACAAACAACATTTAAGAATAGCTTTAAAATACACCTACGAATAACTCTAAATCCCAAAATCTCAAATTATACAATATACTCAAAGTTTATAAAGGTTAATCAGAAAACTCATTTCAATTCCTGAGTGAACTCATTTAATAAATATTAATAGCCGGGCTTGGTGGCTCAGCCTGTAATCCCGTGCCTTTGGGAGGCTGAGGTGAGTGGATTGCCTGAGCCCGCGGGTTCGAGACCCGCCTGGGCAACTTGGCGAGACCTCATCTCTACGATAAATCAAAAATTACCTGAGCCCGCATGTTCGAGACCCGCCTGGGCAGCGAGACCTCATCTCTACAATAAATCAAAAAATCAGCCGGGCGTGGTAGCTCATGCCTGTAATTCCGGCTACTTGGAAGGCTGAGGCGGAAGGATTGCCGGAGCCCAGCAGGTCGAGGCTGCGGTGGCCAGGAGCGGCCACTGCACTCCAGTCTGGGCAACAGAGTGAGACTCCAACTCAAAAAAAAAAAGAAAAAGAAAAAGAAAAAAAAAGAAATAAATATTAATAAAATTTATTATTATGGTATCATGAATAAAAACAGTACTTTACAACTGCCTTGCTTTTGGTTTTGATTTATACTCTAGAACAACATAGTTTCAGGAAAGTTATATACACAACTGTTTATAGCTTTCTTTTACTACATTCTATGAAATTCTGACTCCACTTATGTGAACTTTCTTTTCTGCCTTTTTTTTCCCTATGTGCAAATGAAGACTCAAAATTCCTCTACACTTCAGTTTCCTTGTATGAAACTACTAAAAACTATGTCATAGGCTTTTGTGCAATTAAATAAGAGTATATAGAAAAGTATTGACTATTGTGCCTGGTACCCAGCATAAAATAATCCTCTCTATCTCCTGACTTTTCATTTTCATAAGGAGAACCTATGTAAAACATAGTTTTGGTGACTTAATATCTTGCAATGTCTTTGGATTGTTATCTTATACATCAATAATCTTTAACCTGATATTTAAATGTAAATAAGACTAGATTAAATGTGCATTAAATATTATCATTATTATTATTTTTTGAGTCAGAGTATCCCTCTGTCACCCAGGCTAGAGTGCAGTGGCATGATCATGGCTCATCACAACCTCAACCTCCTAGGTTCAGGGGATCTGCCTGCCTCAGCCTCCTTAGTAGCTAGGACTGCAGGTGTATGCCACCACACCCAGTTAATTTTTAAATTTTTTTTGGTGGAGACCCAGTCTCACTATGTTGCCCAGGCTGGGAAAGCTATTTTTTCTATTATTATTACTATTATTATTTTTAGTTGAGGTCTCACTATTACCCAGGTTGGAGTGTGGTGGTATAATCAGGGCTCACGGCAGCTTTGACCTCCCAGGTTCAGGATTCTTTCACTTCAGCCTCTCAAGTAGCTGGGACTATGGGCACGGGCTGAGGTGAGAGGATCACTTGAGTCCAGGAGTCCATACTGCGGTAAGCTATAATAGCACCACTGCACTCTAGTCTATGCAACAGAGGATTACTCTATCTCCAAAAAGAAAGAAAGAAAGAAATACAAGAAAATTCATTGTCCTTCCCATTTATTTCTCCTAAAGTTTGGATATATTTCACTACCCACCCACTACCAAAAATGATTTACTCTATTTAAAAAAACAAAAACTATATGAGTAAAAAAAGAAGCAAACTCAGGGTCCATTAATAGGGGACCAGATGAAAGGTATGATAATCCACACAACTGAATGTTATGCAGCTATAAAAAAGAAAAAGGAAGTTCTCCATATACCAACATGGAAAGATCTCCAGAATGTATTTGAAAGTGAAAAAAACAAGGCGTAGTACTGCATATATGTGTAAATTCTGTCATCTTGTGAAAGAAAGAGAAGGAGAGGAGGCAAAACAAGAATGCACACTCATATTTAGTTGTATTTTCATGTAGAAACATTGAAAGGATACACAGGACAGTGGTTCTCAATGGGACAGTATTGGGAAGAGGCACAGAAAGCAAGCAGAGACAGGGTAGAAGTATGCTGTCTTAGAGTATACATTTTTATATGAAACATGTAAGCATATAACATACTCAACAGTAAAAGTAAAAAGAAAATAGTAATACATAAATCCAGGAAGGTTGTCATGGTCAATGCAGCATACATTTGGCTTGTTGTGCCTCCAAATCTACATTTTGAAAATATAAGCCGGGCTCAGTGGCTCAGCCTGTAATCCGCACCTTTGGGAGGCTGAGGTGAGTGGATTGCCTGAGCCCACTGGTTCGAGACTCACCTGGGCAACTTGGCGAGACCTCATCTCTACAATAAATCAAAAAATTAGCTGGGCGTGGTAGCACACGCCTGTAGTTCCAGCTACTCAGAAGGCTGAGGCGGAAGGATCGCGGAGCCCAGCAGGTCGAGGCTGCGGTGGCCGGGAGTGGCCACTGCACTCCAGTCTGGGCGACAGAGTGAGACTCCCAACTCAAAAAAAAAGGAAAAAAAAGAAAGAAAGAAAATATAGAATCCAAGTTCCCATCTAAGGAGATTCTTATTATTAGTAGATTTGTAACAGGGTATAACAATGTGTTGGGTTTTATAACCCACTAGGTGTTTGTGATGCAGACATACTTGAACAACTGGAATATGGAATCTAAGATAAGGAGAGACCTAACAGTGGCAGTAGATTTGGCCTCAGAACCCAGGTCTTTTGACCCCAAGGTAATGTCCTTGCTACTCATCAGCAATTACGGATTTAGTCCTCTTCTCTCCTCAGTTCTAGAGTCTTTTTTTCTTTTTTTTGAGTCACGGTCTCACTCTGTCACCCAGGCTGAAAGGCTGGAGTGCAGTGACATGACCACAACTCACTGCGTCCTCGAACTCCTGGGCTCCAGTTATCCTCCCATCTCAGCCTCCCAAGTAGCTGGGACTACAGGCATGCGCCACTATGCCTCGCTAATTTTTTTCACTTTTTTTGAAGAAACAAAGTTTCATTATGTTGCCTAGGTTAGACCCCAACTCCTGAGTTCAAGTAATCCTCCCACCTCAGTCACCCAAAGTGCTGGGATTACAGGCGTGAGTTACCACTCCGGGCCAATGCTAGATTCTCACAGCAGTTACCTGGAGTATTTCCAAAGCCCATTATCTACTTCCTAGACAAAACTCCATAGTTGGCCAGAGATTCAGTCCAGGTATGTATTCCAAAATGTTTTAAATACAAATTTATTTTATTTATTTTATTATTTTTTGAGACAGAGTCTTACTCTGTCACCCAGGCTGGAGTGCAGTGACATGCCCATGGTTACCGCCGGGTTCAGGCAACCTCCTTCCGCCTCAGCCTTCCAAGTAGCTGGAACTACAGGCATACACCACCACGTCCAGCTGATTTATTTATTGTAGAGACGAGGTCTTGCCAATTTGCCTAGGCTGGTCTTGAGCGCCTAAGCTCAGGTGATCCTCTCACCTCCTCTTCCCAAAGTGCTGGAGTTGCTGGCAAGCCACTGCACCTGGCCTAAAAGTTCGTATTTTTAAGCTCATATTAGCCTTTGAAAATTTTAAGTCAGTAAGAGACCAGGATTGTGTTGTTCTCACTTTGCTTGTGTTCACATAGCAAGTGGAGATCTCTGAATGACCTGATTGTTGTAAGGACTGGTAATAACTGGTACTTCTGAGACATTATTCTTAGATCCATTATAGAAAAACTTGGAAAACTTTAAAAGTATATAAACAAAACTACCTACAGCTTCACTAGCACCTAGCCAAAGATAAATGTTATTAGCATTTATTATATCCAAAATCATATTATAAATGTTGTTAAAACTAGTCATTTCAATATCCTAGGCCAGGCATGGTAGCTCACAACTGTAAACCCAGCACTTGGGGAGGCTGAGGTGAGAGGATTGCCTGAATCCAGGGGTTTGAGATCAGCCTGGACAACTCGGTGAGACCTCGTCTCTACAATAAATCAAAAAATTAGCTGGGAGTAGTGGTGTGCACCTGAAGTTCCAACTACTTGGAAGGCTAAAGCAGAAGGATCGCCTGAGCCCAGCAGGTTGAGGCTGTGGTGGCCATAAGCATGCCATAGCACTCCAGCCTGGGTGACAGAGTGAGACTCCAGCTAAAAAAAAAAAAAAAAAAAAATCCTATAGTAAAATCAGGACAAATTTCCCCTAGTTATTATTACATATTCCCATCTATAAACAAATACATTTAACTAGTTCTGCTAGGTCTTAGTAAGTCTATGAAGTAACACAAATTACATCTTTTTCATCCAAGTTTTCCTATACATTAGGTAACTTTAACATCAAGGCACGAATAGCCCAAGATTAGAAAGTATGTTACCTCTTCTGAAACTGCCACAGACTGTAGCAATGTATTCAGAATCCACATTTTTAACTTCATTTAGTACAATATCCTAATAGAAGAAAAATTAAGTCAGTGTTCCAAAAATAGCTTTTCAACAAGTGACATTCTCAATTCTAATCAAAGAATACAATTCAGCACACTCTTACTTGCATTTGTAACATCTCTTCACGAGGGATTCTTTTCTCAAAGTCCTCAAAATATCTATAGAGATAGAATAAGTAGACAAAAGATTTCTGTAAAATTTAAATCTCCTTAAAAATTAAATTGCCTAACATAAATCAAGACTAGAATTCATTGAGAAGACAATAGTAAAACTGGGGGTGGGGTAGAGGTCAAGGGAAGGAAGGTTTATTCCTTATTGGATCAAAATTCTTAAGTGTCACCTTTCCAGAGACTTCATCTAAACCTTATCTGTAAATAAGCTTCATATTCACGTAACAAGATAAATGTATCTAAGCCAGTGCATGTTTTCTAAGTAGACTGCCCTCTACTGGCAAGTCTAGAGGTTACAATTTACTGCTCGTAAATTCTGCAAAATTATATTTTAAGATATTATACTACAACATGGATGAACCCGGATAATAAAATGCTAAGTGAAATAAGTTCGTATAAAATACCACATATTATATGATTTCACTTATATGAAATGTTTGTAATAGGCAAATCGATACGAAAGTAGAGTAGTGATTTCCTAGGGCTGAGGAAGGTAGAATGGGAACAGGAGGGAGTACTGAGAAGAAAAGGAGAATGACTGCTAATGGATAGTTCTTTTTGGGACCACAAAAATGTCCTAAAACTGACCATAGTGATGGCTGCACAACAGTGAATATACTAAAAGCCACTGAATTGTATGCTTTAAATAGGTGAATTGTATGGTATGTGAATTCTATCGCAAGTCTGTTATGAAAATATTATATCAGTATGAAATAATATCTAAGCATATGTCAAGAATGATGTAGCACCTGCTCAAAGCCAATTCTCACAACAACCAGGTTCTCCAGAAGACCTCCATTTACAATGTAAACACAAAGAAAATGAGAAGCACACCACCCTGGTCTCTTGCTGGCTCAACATTTTGGAATGGCAGTATAAATTTTAAAATATTATGACAAGGCATCAACAGGAAAAATTCAGATGGTTATTAGGACTGAATCACCAACAAGACTATATAATACCAGGGGACATACATATAGTGCTTATGTACTATAACTGTAAATAATCAATTAGAAAGGGGGGTTCCCAGATTATATCTGGCACATAAAGTAATTACTGATGCCAATATAGAAATACGCCTACTCATTATTCCTATACTGTTATTTAGGTATGGAAATTTTCCTTTTTTTAATGTAGATTTTTTTTGTTATTGTTGTTAAATCATTGTGGGCTTTATTATTGTGACAAGATAACCATAAATCTGACAAAACGTGGCACATAACAAAAGCAAGCAAGTTTCAAGTACTTGGTGACCACCTTCATCAAATTATCACTGGTCGCTATGACAAAAAAAAAATAGTCTGCTTCTTTTTCTAATTTTTAATTAATTTATTTTCATTTTAAAGACGTGGGTTCAATTCCAGACTAGGTATACAAGTGGTCATTGTACAGGTACAGTTTGGGCCTTAATGTAGTTTTTCATGTTCACGTCCTATCTTCTCAGGTAGACTACAAACTCCTTAAAAGCACCACTGAACTTCGCTGTATCTTTACCCCAGACCTAGTGCAGTGCTTTTTGCAGCGTGGGCATGAAATAAACACCCGCTGACTGCTACATGTACTCAGTTCTATGTATTTTAAGAGGAAGTTCCCTGTTAAAGTCAAGAGAATGGGGGAAATTCTCAAAACAAGTAAATAAACAAGAAAGCATTAGCAAAGCATTGTGTGAACACAGGCATATATTCTCTAGGAGTCCACAGAAATCTTAGCATTTCTGAATAGAAAAATGGTTGTGTTTAGCTAAGCCTGAAGGGTTGTTATGGTATATGAAACAATACCTATAAAAATTTTACTTTTACATCTCAAATATCAAAAGAAAATCTGTTCCTTACTTCAGCCCAATTCGCTGATGATGGTTCAATTTGTCTTCATTTTTTCTGAGATCTGAATAGAAGATAGACAAAGTTGAGGTGTTAATTTAAAACTTTTGGGGGGAAAAAATGCTAAACTCAATGATTCTTTTTACAAAGAACTATCCAAGAAAAAAATATACTGAAATGACTTTGAAAATACAATGAAAGTCCTGGCACAGTGTCTCAGCCTGTAATCCCAGCACTTTGGGAGGCGGAGGTGAGAGGACTGCCTGATCCCAGGGATCTGAGACCAGCCTGGAGAACTTGGTAAGATCTCGTCTCTACAATAAATCAAAAAACAAAAACAAAAAAAACTAGCCGGGCATGGTGGCATGCATCTGTAGTTCCAGTTACTTGGAAGGCTAAGGTAGAAGGATCACTTAAGCCCAGCAGGTTGAGGCTGTGGTGGCCGTGAGCATACCACTGCACTCTGGCCTGGGTGACAAAAGTGAGATTTCAACTAAAAAAAAAAAAAAAAAAGAAAATACTATGAGAAAAAAATTTCAGATGTTAAGAACTAGGTAGCTGGGTGTGGTGACTCACACCTGTAATCCTGGCACTTTGCGAGGTGGAGGTGAGAGGATTGCCTCAGTCCAGGGGTTTGAGACCAGCCTGGGCAACTTGGCGAGACCTCATCTCTACATTAAATCAAAAAACATCAGTCAGGCATGGTGGTGCACCCCTGTGGTTCCAGTTACTCAGAAGCCTAAGGCGGAAGGATCACCTGAGCCCGGCAGGTTGAGGCTGCAGTGGCTGTAAGTGTGCCACTGTACTCCAGCCTGGACAACAGTGAGACTCCAACTCAAAAAAAAAAAGAACTAGGTAAAAGTGACTCTTCAAATCCATGTAGTTAAACCTAACAGTTGATTTTATAATTTTTCTTTCTTGAATCAAAATTTCTATTAGGATTGCATAAGATAGTAAATAAAACATACCAGGATCATCCCAAATTTTACTGACTTTAGCAAAAAGCAATCTTATAAAGACCAAAACTATTTAATTTATTGTTTTTTTAGTGTTGTTTTTTTTTTTGAGTTGGAGTCTCACTCTGTCGCCCAGACTGGAGTACAGTGGCTGCTCCCAGCCACCGCAGCCTCGACCTGCTGGGCTCCGGCGATCCTTCTGCCTCAGCCTTCCAAGTAGCTGGAAATACAGGCACGTGCTACCACACCCAGCTAGTTTTTGATTTATTGTAGAGATGAGGTCTCACCAAGTTGCCCAGGCGGGTCTTGAACCCACGGGCTCAGGCAATCCACTCACCTCGGCCTCCCAAGGTGCTGGGATTACAGGCTGAGCCACCGAGCCCAGCCTAATTTATTGTTAATAGCAGCAGTTAATAAACATTCAGAATACCACAACTTCTGAATGTTTTCCAATTAACTAGGTTCATTCATATTATTCATTTGTTGATCCACTCCTTCATTCAGTTAGTACGGAGTATCTATTTGTGCAGGCACTGTGCAAGAAATTTTGTCGAAAGAAAAAGTATTACTGTATCTTCTTTTTTTTTTTGAGTGGGGTCTCACTCTGTCATTCTGGCTGGAGTGCAGTGGCACAATCATGGCTCACTGTCGCATCAACCTCCTGGGCTCAGGTGATCCTTCCATCTCAGTCTTCTGAGTGGCTGGGATTACAGGTATACCACCATGCCTGGCTAACTCTTCCTCCCCACTTCGAGATGAGGTCTCACTATGTTGCCCAGGCTGGTCTCAAACTCCTGGGCTCAAGCAATCTCCTCAGCTGGGCCCCCCAAAGTGCTGGATTTACAGGCGTGAGCCACTATGCCCAGCTGTATCTTCAATTTTTATTTAAAAAACTGTCATAACATCCTGTCTTAAGTCTAAAAGTGACTTAGTTCCATTTGGGTGTTCTTTTATTGGGCATGAGTACAGCAGTGAGACTCATTAAAGAAACAGCAAAGCCAAGCCTGGTAGCTCATGCCTGTAATCCCAGCATTTGGGGAGGATGAGGCAGGAAGACTGCTTGAGCCCAAGAGTTCATGACCAGCCTGGGCAACAGCAAGAAATTGTCTGTAAACAAAAAATTTTAAAAATACATAAATTCCTTCTGGAGATATAAAGTAGAGAAAAATATACGTCTTTACAATACATTGAATACAATATTTCCCACAGTTGTGTGCACATAGAAAAGACTAAAGTAAATGACTAAAAATAAAATTAAAATATTGAGTTTGTTATACATATATATAGGTATGAATATAAACCGTTGTATTTCGTATCTGTGAATTTTGAATTAACATAAAAACCAGAACATGTACCAAGCACTCTAAGTTCTATAAATAAGTTATTGCATTTAATCAGAAGACCCATTTTGCAGGCAAGAAGCTAAAGCATCAAGGTCACCCACTCTAACAAAGTGGTGAAAGCGGGATTTTAACCCAAGACAGTCTCTAAAACCTGTCCACCTAGCCATTTGGGTTACTTGCAAATAGACTGAGCCCACAGATACTAAATCCCAAATGCCACAGATAGGTTGTAATGAATCCATGTATATAGCATACACCCTTAAAAAGTGATAATTATATTTAAAGGATTGCTATATTAGGTTTAAGAAAACTGTTTCATAATTACTTGACTTAGGCTCTATTTGTATCACTTCTTTGAAAGCAAATATTCATTTAATAACCACTGCAAATCACACAATATTTCTCAATATATAACTTAGTTTTTACTCTGACTTTAGATTTTTTCTGAAATTTTACTAAAGAAACAAAGGCAACTTATATATTCTAAAAATATGCAAATGACAACTATTTCATTGTCTTTAAACAAAGAAGTCACTTCTTGCTCTTGATTTCCTGAGTTACAACTCTAAAATTGTTTAAGATGGTAATATAAAC